GGGGGGCTGGCGGCAGGTAGACCCCGCCGTGGGCGTAGTAACCGCCGCCGCCGCCGCCCCCAGAGCCACCGCCACCGCCGCCCGCCTCGCCTCTGCCCGAGCTGATGAGCGAGTCGACCAAAAAAGAGTTCGCGGCGGGGCTCTCCGAGCATGACATTGTTGTGGGATAATTTGGCGAAGGGAGCAGATAGCCCTTTCTGGCTGACATTTCTTGTGCAAAACATGCTGAATACGATTAGCAATCCCCCCGCACCGCGGCGGGCGCCCGCAGCCAATCCCGAGCCAGAGTTTCCGCGGGACCACTCCCAGTTTGGTTTCGTAGGCGCGGGGCAGCTCTCCGAGGGCGCCCTCGGAGCCCGCGATTGATATAAATATGTAATCTGTATTGATGGGCCGGTAGACGCACGCCCGACACCTCGGCCCGAAGGCCAGGAGCTGTGGGGGCTGCCCCAACGTGGCTGGCGGGGGCCTTGCCGCTTGGCTCGCCCCGCCCCTGTACCCGAACGAGGGTCTGCTTGAAGCGTCCTTGGGCCCCGCGCAGTTAACAAGTGGGGTGTTTATGGTGTGCGCCCCGGCCGGCCTTGGGTGCTCCCCACGCTTCTTTCGGAAGCGGCCACTAGTCCTCAGCGCGTTCTGACCACTTAAGGGGGCCCGGTCGGGGTCTCGTGCTCTTTCCATTCAGCTATGTACCTGGAGCTGAAGTCTGTATGGGGTGCCAGTCCCAAAAGTGGTGTGCCTGGTCCTAAGGCCACCAGGACACTCAGAGAGTCCGGAACCCAGAGTACACTGAGAGCTGGCTGTTGCCACTACTTCTGGCATCCCACACAGAATTTTCCCCCCAAATGCAGTGGCTGTTTCCTGGCCCCTCAGCCCCCAACACTCCCCTTCCCCAGCCGGCTGATCCAGTTAGGATCGTCTCTGGTGTGCTCACCTGGTCCCCTTCTCTACAACTTCTATAGGCACATCTTGGTGAGCTGGCACGAGTGGGGGTGGGAAGCGACTGGCAGCCTTGGCCGAAGTCTCTGGCACACCCTTCCCCCAAACACCCTGACCGGACTTCAAGCTCATGTATCATTTAGGGGAAGTAAAACGTCAACCCTGGGGTCTTTGGCTTGTCCAGAGGGAAAGACCTAGAAAGAGAAACTTGGAGGGGTGAGACCAGTAGACACCTCTGCCATTCTATTCTCCTGTTCTTTTAGCCTTGGCATTTGTGTACTCCTGGAGGCTATGACAAGAACCAGTGTCACTACACTCATGCCTCTTTGTCCCCTCCCTTCTTCCCCCCTCCCCTCGAAACCCGAGGCTGGGGCAGTCCTTGCTCCCGCAGTGTGTGCATTTTAACGAGGCCCCGGTGAGGAAATCCGTTCCCTATGAGTCCCGGCTGGGCTCATGGCCCTGTTATAAGAGCTTTTGGAGGCCAGACCCTGCACTCAGCAAACACCGGGCCCTACCCAGGGACGCTCTCTTAGTCAACTGGAAATGGCCGGCCTGGGGCGCTAGCCCCCAAGTGTGGGCCTCATGCAACTCTCAGGAAATGCGACCTTTTCCGGCCGGATCCAGTGGAGCCCAGGAGGTCGCTGTCTTGCCCCTGGCCCGCGGGCTAGAGGTCTCCAGGATGCCCCGGGCCTGCCTGCCCCAGTCCTGCCTGCTGCGCGCCTCCGGGATCCCAGGAAGTAGATCACTCAGGCCTCTGCCTGCGGCGGGGAAAGACTCTTGCATCCCGGGTGATCTGCCTGGCACTTGGTACCGTTCTTCCCAGTATGAACCCAGCCTGAGGAGAAAGACAAGCCTGAGAAGACACTGCGAGGGCATGGGACCACTGGCTAGGTAGAGTCTGGGCTCTGACTTCTGAGATTTAAGCAGCTGCGGTCGCTGCCGGTCACGGCTGCTCCCCGCGCGGCACCCAGGAGGCCGTCCACCGCAAGCGCGGCGCTCCAACTACTTCCATCTCGGCGACCCTCAGTGACTGGCTCTGCGGACTGTGTATCGGGGTGCAGAGGAGGAGGGTGGAGAGAGAAAGAGGGAGAGAGAAGAGGGAGAGAAAAAGAGAAGAGGAGAGCATGAGAGAGCGCATTCTTTCCAGCCCGACAGGGTCTCGCAGCTGCAGCAGTGGCATAGCTGAATCAAGACCGGGTCTTTGCGGAGAGATCATTAACTCCCCTTCGCTCTTCGCCTTGCTCCTGCGCCCAAGGCCAAGACAAAGTCTCATCTGGCTAGGCCCAGAGGCCAACGAACCTGAATGCAGGAAATCTTCAGAGCACTGCAGCCTAGGGCTCTAGCTTAGCTTCCCGGATCTGCCTGGTCCTTACCCAGCTCATCAGAGGTATGGAACTGGCTGGGTTTGTTGTGCTCAGCAATGCCACCTGGAAGTGCCACAAAGTTGGGGGCTGCCAGAGAAGGGAGCTTTGCTCTTCAGCACTGTCCATGACTCTCAAGAAAGCTCTGTCTTGTGGAAAGCAGGTCTCAAGGGTGTGGAGAGTTTCTTGAGGAGAAGGAGCCCCAGCAGGCCAGTGGGCCAGGACTTGGGTCTATAGTCATCCCTCTCTGGGCTAAATGCAGAGAGCAACTTCTCAGGCTGAAGTCTGGGAAGGGCTAGTGGCTATTAGACAGTGAGATGGCGGAGGCTTCAGAGAATGAAGTGAAAGACAATGATCTAAACCTGTCTTTCTTAACCTTTCAGGGAGTCAGACCCCTCTGCAAAATCTAAGGCAAATTCTGACTCATCCTGTGAAAAATACATTACCACAATTTGACCCATCATTTTCAAGGAGTTCACAGACCCCTCCAAGCCTTCTTGTTAGACCCCTCAGAGTCCTCCAAGACTCTCCTGGGATTCAGGGGCCCTGCCAATTTGGCTGGTAAGACAAGCGTGATGCCCCACTGCAGACAGCTCAGGCCAGCCTGGTCAGGACCCTGTAGGGAGGCCAATGGGCTTCTAGGCTGGATAGAATCCAGGAGCATGCACATGCCAGCCAAGGTTGCAAAAGTCAGCTTGGTAAGGCATCTGCTACAAAAAGCTGCTCAGCTAAGAAGTGGAGGAGCTAGAAGGCTGCTGTGGGCTTTTCAGACCGTGGCATTGGCACTTGTGTCTTAACTGACCTTTGTGGAGAGCAAGATGTGTTTCACCAGCGAGACTTTTTCCTCCTTGTAACAAACCAAATGGGATGTTGGTGTTGAGCACTTTCTTGCTTAGAAAAAAAAAAAAAAAAGAGTGCATAAGCCTGTATGGGAGCCCTTCTCTCCCCCAGGACTGCCATCCCAGCACAACCTGGATTTGGGGGGGGGGATTCCTATGGGTGAGCCTATGGGTGCGACCTGGGTGCAAGCTGGCCTGCTGTCTCTGGTTCAAAAGAGAGGATATCGACACAGCAGAAGCACAAGTTAAACTCCACTGCGTGCCTCCTCAGCCCTCTCAGCTGGTCTCCGAGCCCCTAGCATCTCCAGCTGGCCCCAAGACTACTGTGCTCCCTAGACTGTAACACTGAGGTTACACTGCTGTTAGCGTCCTCAATAAAATATTCCATTTGTCAAACGCCTCAGCTTTCTTGAGGTTCCACATCCCGAGAGATTAAGAAAAGCGATTCAATTGCAGCATGGATCGACTTCTGGCCACTCTTTCTCCGTCTTGCCTATTTGCCTTCTTTCCCTTTCACTCTTCTTCCCAGGAATTTCTCCCTCTCCTTCAGGATGCCTTTGACCCAAAACCCTTGGTGCCTGCTTGCCTCAACCAGGCCTTTTGCAGTGGTTACACAGTCACCGCCAGAGCCCATGTTTTATTTGGGAGGAAATATTGCCTATTTCTACCTGGATGATAACAGCACCATGGAGCCGTAGTAAATGCCAAGCCCGTGGAATAAGCTCTTTGGCGAGGATTAAGCTGTAATTCATGACATAGCAGATTTCTCCTCCTGAGTAGGCCTTAGCAAGTGGCGAGAAATAAACTATTATTACAAAAAACAAGTTCTTTAAAAAAAGTACTAGTTCCTTAGATTGAGATAGTCAATAAACAATTTGTATCTGGAGGTCAACCTCGGTGCTTTCGGTGCTCCAAATTATTTATCAGGCTGTGGGGTTGGGCTGTGGTCCCTCAGAGGAAAAATAAACGCTGCTTTCACATATCCGGCTTTAACAAAAATTCAGGACTTCTCAGATTTATGCGTTCGCGTATAGTTAGAAATTTTTTCATAAGCAATGGCGTTCTTTTCTTATTCATCTTTAAGAATGTCAACAATTCCAGGGATATTTGTTATGTCTGTTTTGAATTGATCAGGTGTAATCTATCCCTAAACAACATGCTTTAAATTTTTTTCTAAATCCAACCATTGAGTTGGTTACCTCCCCGCCCCCATGGGGAGTTTTGGGGCCTTTTCGCACACCCATTGAATTGCAATATTCTTAGTTTTGTCCGTAATAAACTGCCGCTGGCCTTGAAACTGGAGGCGACTCGGACTGTAGGGAAGGCTCCGACTACAGAGCAGCTCACCGTGTGGGTGCTCATTCTGTCCTGTGGCTCTTGTTCTGGCATAGTTTGGGAGCCCACACTTAACAAAGACTATTGACTTTGATAGGCAAAATTTACACAGGCGCGCGCGCACACACACACAGGCAGTACCTACTTTCTCTGGGATTCCCCCAACTTACCCATGCACTGTACATCTGGGAAAAGAAAATAACTATTTCAAGAAACTAATGAAAAAAATATTGGAATAAAAAATCCAAATATGAGAGAAAGAGAAAAGTTAAATCTGGCCTCCAAAATGTGAGTGAATTATAATGATTTTAAACCTGTTTTATGACAATGCTGATAAAATGATTGCTCAGTGAGAGTTTATCCCCAGTGCAAGCTTTTGAAAACGTATAGTTATTTACCAATATATTTTTGTAGATTTGCAAAACATGCAAAAAGTCTTATTTTAACATCTAAGAAATTGCTGTAAAATCCTAGCCAGGTTTATAGCGGTGCATTCCAATAGGCAGTGCAGAGACTTCCCTGGAAGCCTCGAAAATCAAATGCGACTTTTCCAAATTGGACTTTTTTGGAACAAAGGTTTACCCCTTGGCTGCTGAGCAGACCTAGAGATTGCACCTAGTAGGAAACCAGCGATCTCCAGGACTCCTGACCCCGGTAATAAGCCTGCCCCAGCGGCCTCCGAAGCCCTCCACCCCATTGTTTCGAGGAGAAACTTTCTGTTTTCTCCAGCCCCGCCATCTCCTTTTTTTTTTTTTTGCCCCCCACCCCCACCCCTTCCAGCACAGCTGGAACCCTTTCTCCTGGATGCCTCCCATCCCCCAGCTCATTCTATTCTGATTATTTCCACAAAATCGAAAGATCGCCTTGGGTGAAATGCTGGCGCAGGGAGCTAAAATCGTCAACTTTTCCACTTAAGCCTCCCCCGGCTTTCCAACCTCGGGAAGCATGGGAGAAGGGGAGGCAAACGCCTACCGCGTCACCCCACAAACCCAGCCATGTTCCCGAGCCCTGCTTAAACATCGGCCACTTCCCCACTCCCTCCCCAGCCGGACTGAAATTGGTAAACTTGTAGCCTCTTACCTTGACACATTTCCGAAATCACTGCCAAGGGGCAGCTGGCTTCTCCACGCCGCGACACTCGCGAGGCCTAGCAAAAGCACGTTGCTTTAAATCACACCACCAACCACTTCTTGAGGGTAAGCCCCCCTTTTTTGATACGAAGGGGAGAAGGACAAGTGAAATAATGTACCGTGCTGCTCTTAGTATCAGGAGCGAACAAAGGCCAAGAATCACGCTGGGGTTCCCGGCTCCCCGGCGGCTTTGACATTGATCGGAAGTGCGCCATCTCGTGGCGGCTGCGCGCCTAGGCCGGGACGGAGCTGCAGCCGGAGCCGAGAGAGGGAAGCAGGCTCCCGGCAGAGAGACAGGGAGAGAACGTGCCCAGCCCGCTGCTATTGAGAACTCATTTTTACATCTAAGAAATTGCTGCAAAACCCCAGCGGGGTTTATAGCGGCGCATTCCAAATATGCAAATTGGCCGGCCCCGGACGGGTTTACGACCACATTGTCACAGCCATCGGAGGATGGGCTTTTATAGGGCTCAGAAATCAAACCCGCGCCCGCCCGCCCGCCTGCGAGCAGTCCTCCTGGCTAGACTCTCTAGCAACTTGAGAGACTTGGTTAATCTTTAACCATCCCAAAGGAAGTCTTTCCCTAAACCCAGGCTTCCCTGCCCGCCCCCTCCCTACCCCCCAGGAGGGCCCTTGTTCCTCTCTGTATGTCTATCAACCTAGACATTCATCTCGGGGTCTGTCCCACTCTCTTTTCAGCTCGATTTCTCCAGTCGCGCCAGTTAGACAAACACACAAACAAATAAACAGTGGGGTCTGGGGTCTGTGGCCTCTCTCCAAATGCGACCCTCTTTGCTGCTGTGGCCCTGCCTGGGTGGCTGGAGAGAGGGTGGGGTGGGCAACAAAAGGCTCTGTCCTTTCCGCCCTGCCCCTCAAGGTTATGGGTGATGTCCAAATTTAAGGCAGAAGTTCAAAGGCAGCAAACAAAGAGGAAAGCGGCATCCTTCTTTCCCCAAAGGAAAAGGCGGCCTCAGCTGGGAGCTGGGGATAAAGCACCCTTAAAGGTTCCTGAGAGTCTGCTCTACCTTGGTACCCAGACTCGTCTTCCTCTTGCTGAAGGGATCCACAGGGCACTCCAGAATGGTTCCACTTCAGGCCTCCCAGTCCTGAGGTGAGTGAGGGCAGCCTGGGGTCAGGCCCATTGGCCACCTCAGGATTGAAGGCCTTGTCCAGGGCTGAAGTCAGTCTGAGGGGATGAAGTCCCACATTCCAGGCCCTGAGACATCCCATCTTTAGGAACCCACTTCTCACAAGGACATGGCGAACCACCTTGGCTTCCTAAGTCTGGCTTCTATTGTAGCTAAATCCTGACTCAATCACCTCCTCAGAGGCCTGGTAACTTGCCCTTTTACTAGTAAGTGGGTGTTGGGGGGGGCAGGCGTTTGGTAGTAAAAATCTAGCAGGGAGAGGAATGTCAAACTAAGACACGATACTCAAGTTTCCACCGTCTTTATTTTCCTTGTGCCCTGTCACCTGTATACATGCTGCGACATACACGGTGGGTAAGAACCATGGACAGACCAACACTCCCATCACAAACAGAGCCACCAGACATTTCTTAACATAGGGAGGCAGAGAAGATTCAATGGGTGGGTGCCTGGCTTTCCCAGATGAGGTCCCCAGGCCATGGCCTGCCGACCTGCCTCCAAACATCCCCCCTAACGCTTCCTAAATGTTGCAAGAGATTAAAAAGGACTTTCTCAACACCCTCCCCCCCAAAACCCCAAAGGAAATCATCTAATGGCAAAAAAAAAAAAGAGTATTCAAACAAAATAGGTTATGGTTCCTTTATTTACAAGTCTTTTGAACACCATCCCTGTATGAAGCGTACATTCAAATATTCTTAGCAGTGAGCGAGTTTAACCGTGGAACACTGTAAACAGATAGAGCCTTTAAATATTTTCATCATCTTTCCCCCTCTACATTGCATCTTTAAAATTCGCTTTGGTTCCTGCAGGGAAATATATATATATAATATAATATTTATCTTTTAAAATAATTCCAAATCACTCTCGGGCTCTTGGAAGGTCGCCGGAAGCTTCCAAGCTCAGTTCCGGAGCCAATGAGGGAAGAGTGTGTGTGGTGCCAGAACCCAGTGTTTTGGAGGACACAAGCCCCTCACAGCCATAGCCAGGGACCCGCTGGCTGGGCCCACTGCTCCACTGCCGGACACTGAGCAAATCCAAGCTTCATTAAGTGTGGTGGAGACTTTGCCAAACTGCCGCACTCCACAGGCATTTCCTGCAGAGATTCATGGGGCCAGCAGCCTGTGTTCGGCCTCTTGGCTTTTTGATGTTTTCCACCTCAGGGAACAGTTTGCTCTGTGACCAGGCTTTGGGCCTGAGTGGCAGGCTGGAAGGAAGACCCTCTTTTTGGTAGAAAGAAAAACCAGGTGGGCTGCAGGAGGCGGCCGCTAGGAGCTCAGGCCTAGGAGAGTGCAATCAGTGGCTCGGAGGGATGGAGAGACAGTACTGCCACCTAGAAAGTAAATTTCTTTTTCCTCAGGGATCTGCAGCCCTCTTCCACGTCATATCCACCTCTTAGTCCAGCTGCATTTCACATTGGCTTTGGAAAACAGCCCCATTCTGGGCATCTAGGAATTCTGCCCCTGTCCCCAAGCTGAACTGGGCTTGGAGAACACACAACTTCTTGACTCAGGGGTCCTGGGGTGGGCAGGCTCCATGTGGAGGGTCCTGGGGGAGGGTCAACCTCCAGGGGGCCTAGTCCCCAGTGGAGACCACACCCAGCCCAAAGCTCTGTAGGCTCCAATGGTGAACCACCAGGGGTCCCAAACCATTCATTCTAGTTGATGCACGACTCTCAGAATCCAATTATTATTAAGAATCTTAACCACTGAGATCTCAACCAAGACAGTATCAGGCCGCCTCCTGTGGAGCTATCTCCGTGGAACCTCTTTTGCACACCTTTTTTCAAAAGTCACCGTGTGGCTTGACCTTGTCAAGGGCAAAATCTGCATATTATCTCAAGTGTATGGAGCCCCCCACCCACTTCCAGCTGGCTAGAGCCTTAGAGAAGTGGATTAGCCGAGTAGTACTGTAAACGGTCTCTGTTAATTTTTTTTTCCTTCATTCTTCTGTTCTGAAACCAGATTTTGACTTGACGATCGGTGAGGTTGAGCATGCGGGACAGTTGCAGGCGCTTCTCTTTGTTGATGTAGACACTGAAGAAGAACTCCCGCTCCAGCTCTCTGATCTGGTACTTGGTGTAGGGGCAGCGCTTTTTTCGGGTGCGTTGGCCACCTGTGGAGGGAGAAAGGTAGGGAGTGAGCCAGGTGTGGGGGCTTCAATCCACCCCAGAACCCCGAGTGGAGAACATGGCTGGCCACAGGGACTGGAGGCCCAGCTCAAGCCCCCCTCAAGGTCTTCCCAGGCTCCTACACTCAGGCTCCCACTGCTGGCTGGGAACGGGCTGCAGTCGAAGGCTCAGCCCCAGATAAAAGCCAGCTCCCTAGATAGGCCCCGGGGGAAGCTGCTCCTGCTGCCCCCAGAACAGAAAGGACTCCTGACAGCAACAGGAGAGTTTGTGCTGCCGAAGCCGCTTTGAAAGCAGCTGAATGGGGATTGCCGGCTGCCTCCCACCCCGCCAGACTAAACAAACAGCCGACTGAGGACATTTTACCTTCCAGCACCTGGGCTGCCCTTTCCCAGGGCAGTAAAGGTGGCCCCAGCCCCAGTCTTTCCAGGTTGCCGCCACGACTAGGCCCTGCTAACATCTGGGGCGGCTGCTGGGTCTTTGTCAGCCTGAGTCCCGGCCACCAGCTCCTGCCTGCCCGGCCAGCCTCCCCGGGCCACTGAGGCCCCCTGCCCTGGAGCACCACCTTCACGCAGCCACCCTGGTCCCTCCACAGGGGTAGAGTGGAGTAAAGAGGAGCTTATGGAAGCTGCGGGCAGGTTCTACTCGCTCCCCCTTTTAAAAAAAAAACCCACAAGAAGAAAAAAATTTTTCGCTTTTGGCAGATTGAATAACAATTGTGAATAACACGCAGTTGGACAGAAAGCAGCACGTAATTGCCACCGCGCCAGAAGAAAATGGCTTCCTTTGGACAAAAAGGCCAACTTTGGGTTAATTTGTTTCTTTTAATATATTGCTGGAGCTAAGCGAGCTACTTTATCTGTTAAACGCGCTCCTTGCGCCATCGTTAAACAGCGACGCCTTTGAATCCCAGCCGGGACTGGAGTCCCGGCGCAACACATGGCTTTTATAAAAATCTCCGGATTACCTCGCTATCAAAGGCTCCCGGAGCCCTTTGCAGGGGGAATTTACAGGCGCCCACCTCCGGCTCCCCAGCCCGAAGCTGGCCCCGAGCGGGGTCGAGCTGCCGGGCTTGGGAGCAGAGAAGGGAAAAAAGGGAAAAGGGGAGTTGTTTTTTTATGCAGCCATGCCTTGGCCGGTGGGTATTTCACGGCCAATTTCAGCACTCGCCACGTGATCCCGCCTTTTATAACAAAGTTTTGTTGGGGGAAACCTAAAGGCCCTTCATAAACCTTATATGCTTATAAAACAGCATATAAAAATTTAACAGCGGTGCTGCGCTAGGTTTCCAACTCCCCTTTCATAAAGCGCAGAGCGCTGCCTTTATACGTACTGGAGCCGCCGGCCTTGTCCTCAGTGTGGCCGGAAGACGACTCGGGGCTGCTGCTGCTCTCCGGGCGCCGCCGCCGCTCCTTCTCCTCCGCCGCCGCCACCGCCTCCCGGCAGCCGCCGCCGCCGCTGTCCGAACTTGAAGTTGCCGGCGCGCCTGTGGCCGCCGCCGCCGCGGAGGTCGCGGTGGCCGCCGGGGGCCCTTTCTCAGCGTTCTTGTCCCCGGGGTAGTCGGAGGAGGCGAGGTTTTCCGGGGTGCCGTAGGCTGTCTCGAAAAACTGGTCGAAAGCCTGTGGCAGGACGCCGTTCCTGCCCACGGTGCTATAGAAATTGGATGAGACGGCGGGGGTGGGGTGGTGGTAGACGTTGGCCGAGCTCTTGGCCAGCACGTCGCCAGGCACGCCGGCCGCGCTGGGCGCCTGCAGGCAGTCTCTGTGCACGAGCTCCTCCGCGGAGTAGCAGTGGGCCAGATTGCCGCGGGGGTGCCATTTAGTGGCGGGCTCAATGGCGTACTCTCTGAAGGTCACTTCGCGCACGGGTTGGACCTGGGGCAGGTTGGAGGAGTAGGAGTATGTCATTGGGCGCGAAGACGGGGTCTGGGGCAGAAAAGAAGGGAGGCTGGAAAAATCTGGACCCGAGACGTAGTAAGTACAACTTGGCAAATACATGTTAGAGGAGCAGGGACCACGCTCATCAAAATCCATCATTGGGCTACCTTGGGCTCTCCGCAGTAGCCGAGCTTAACATGATTCTCCACTGCAGCTGCCTCTTTGAAGCGGATCCGTGAAGTAGAAATTTGGAGACGTAAGCTGACGTGGAAATCTATCCCCATCCTTAGCAGGGAGGTGCTGGTCATGTGACCCGATGTTGAAATTGACAAGCTGCGAGCTAGTCCGGGCCTTTTTTTTTTCCTCCCCCTTTCCTTTTTTTTTTTTTTTTTTTTTTTCATGTGACCCGATGTTGAAATTGACAAGCTGCGAGCTAGTCCGGGCCTTTTTTTTTTCCCCCCCCTTTCCTTTTTTTTTTTTTTTTTCTTTCCCTCCCCTCCCTTCCCGGCTTCCTTTCTTTGTAGCCACCTCAGGGGAAGCAACAGATCGTCACTCGGTGTTCTCACCGAAAGCACGTAATCGCCGGTGTAACTCATGTTGGCTGGGGGGCCTCCCGGCGCGCGGTGAGGCTGGGGTGCGCCCCCATGCAGCTTGCTTCTGCTCAGCTGCACGATCGGCCCTCAAGTGCGCCGAGGGCGGTGAGAGAGCTCAACTCCCGCCCACCCCCACCACTCCCCGGGTGGGCGAGGGATGCCCTGGGCTGGGGGTGACCAGGTGGGCTCTCGTTGCTGTGTGGCCCGTGGTCTCGGAATCTGTTCTGGAAGATCTTGTCCGCACCCCTTTCTTCGCAGCCCCTCTCCTACAGGCTTGCTTTGGGAAGCGCCACTGTCTCCGACCCTGGCAGGACCCCCTTCGGGGCCAAGGTTCGCAGCCGTGGATGTGCCGGCCTCGTGGCTTGTCCGATTTGCACGGTGACTTGATTACACGCTCGCATTCATGGTCACTTCCGAAGCGCTTTAGTGCCTTCCGTCCCTAAACCGCCAGCAGTCAGGGCGGCTTCCCCCGCGATTTGTCAATGATCCGCAGGGCCCGGAAGGGCCTTCGTCTTACCCGGGATCCACCCCTCTCTTCATCCTCCCTGCCTGCATCCTTACACCCACCCCCCTGCCTTTGGCAAAACCCCCTGCTCTTCGCTGTCTGCCGGGTTCAGAGTGACGCGGCAGAGACAGAGGCGCGGGTCTGCGCCGCTGCTCACCGGTCCCCCTGCCTGGTCTTCTGGAGCTGAAGACTCGAGAAACCATGCAATTAAGGCGAGACTTGGGCTGCTTTAGAGGCGCTGACATCCGAGGAGACTTCTCCTGGGTATGCTGCACCTTTCGGGGGGGGGGGACCCACTAGACTGCTTGCAGAGCTCCAGGGCTGTGGTGAGAATGGGGACGGCGAGACCGGGGTGATAGCCAAGGAGTAGTAACCCACCTCTTCTCCTCCCTTGCAAAGCTTGAGAGTGAAAGCAAGGATGTGCAGGGCAGAAACTCAGAAAGCTCCGCGCCTTTCCTGCCACTCAGTCCACAGAAGCAACACAATGCCAAAGAAAAGAGAGGTGCTTCCCAAACTAACCGCACCTTGGGCAACAAGGATGGCTTGAAACAGCCAGATTTGTGCTTTATAAAGATAGAGACAGAGGCTATAGATCGGCTAGAATGAATCTTTTTCTTGGGAAGAGAAAAGAAAAAAAAAATTAAGAAGGCAAAATATGTTTGCCATCCTGCAGGACTGAAAGAGTAACGTCTGGGGGAAGCTAGAGAAGGGATGGGGCACAGAGCAGCCAGGCAAGACCAAGAGCTGGGAGGGGCCCAGACCCAAGGCCTCCACACAACCCTCTTCTTGGAAGGAGCTGGGGTGTCGCTGAAGGAAAGTCAAAAAAAATGAAAAGGGATAACCTTTTCCCTTTGCCCGTCCAGGAAATAGCCGAAGGTATTTACATATCTTGGGGAGATTTAGAGTATAAACTCTAAGATCTTTGGTATTTAAGTGTCAACATTGATTTATTTATTTATTGCTGAGCTGACTGTAACTGACTCAATAACAAATCTAATCATGTATTGCACTGGAAAAGAAATATTCTCATTATGTATTTTCTCCAAATAATGGCCCACCATTGCATTTGAATACCTTCTGTAAATATCAATAATACCAAGTAATTACTCTGTAGCGGAGAAACTAATTTATTAGCATTAATGTTTATGTGCCCCCCCCCTTTTTTTTACAAGGGTTGCTTATCACAAATCAACCTACTCGGACACATTGGTTTAATGAACTCTTTATTTGGGATTTGCTGCAAGAACTTTCATGCCCCTTGAATCCTTGAAAGCTGAACTTGAAATTATTCGTGTGTCTTCAGCTTGACATATTTGTCCACTGTGGCTTGTGCAGAGGGAAGCAATGGTATGGGTAAGAAGGTCCAGTCGGAAGGAAGGTTGCCGGGGAAGGGTAGCTTGAAACCTGGGAAAGCTGGGAATCGCAATTACAGAATTGCCCTGCAGCAAAAAACCTTCCAGAAGTGACCAACAAGGCAAAATATTTGTTTCTCCACAGCATCTCTTTCCCGAAGATAGAATATAAGAGAGAAGAAGAGGTTTCAAACAGCAGTATTTAAGCCATTCTCTGGCTTGAGTTTGGCCATCCCGAACACTCTCCCAGCAGCCCACCCAGTCCTCGACACCCCTACCCTCGAACAAAAGGAATGCATGAGGGGTTTCAGTGACTTTGCCATAACAAAGGCGCCACCATTGCGGGGCTCGCCCCGCCCCTGGGTGAAGGCAAACAAATTCTTGCACTTGTGTTAGGGCTTTTAAGACTATAATTGAACCCGGGGGCGTCTAGGAAAACCGAAAACAGTTCTAGACAGACCTGCGGTTTTATAGCAGTTTTGGCAGTCAACTTCAGCTTGTGCCTGAGCAGACGGGCCGCGGTGGCCCGCCAGCGGGGGACGCCAGGCCGCCTCCCCAGGCTGCACGCAGCCCCTCTCTTAATTAGATCGGTTTCCCCCTGGTGCCAAGGAGAGGGAGTCCCCGCAGAAAGGTCGATGTGGGGGTGTGCGCTGTTCCGCATAACCATTGCCTCCCGTGTCCTCGAGGGCAAAGCCGAGAGGGTGCCGACAAGTCTGGATCCCATGGGTGTCTGCAGGAGACAAAGACGAATTCCCGAGGAAAGGCCGGGACGGAGGAAGGCGCTGCGGGAGCGGCTGGCAGTGCAATTCGGCAGGCTGTACCGAAACGGGGTGCTCGAAGGGACTTGCAGCCTGGAAGGGGGCGTGTGGGGGGCGCTGCCTCAAGATGAATGAGGGAAAAGGCTTTTGATGCCAGCAGAAGGGAAAACGCCTGGTGCCGCCGAATGCTTTTAGTTCCCCAGAGGAGGGGGGTGGTCGGATTCCTACCGCGCGATGCTCCCAGCTTTGCCCGCTGCTGCCCTTCTTGCGCGAATAGACTGGCGGTGTTTTAAGACCATAAGACCCGGCAGGCGGCCGGGTAAGGGGTGGGCGCGTCTTTGAGGATCCGATCAAATCTTGGGGGAGAAGGGGAGGGAGGCAGAGCTGCGGATCCTTGATTTTGACTTTGCCCTGCGCCTAATTTACTCTTCCGCTTTGCAGGAGGCCCAACAGCCGAGCTGAACCCACCCGGCTCTGGGAAAGACCCGTCCGGGGCTAAGGCTGCCCGGAAGGCCAAGTCCGAGTTCCATTTCTTGAAGAGGCAGCGGCGGGCAAGGCTGTGACATTGGCCCTGGAGACTGGTTTCCCATGAGGATTTCTTTCTCAGGAGCTCCCCAGCGCGGGGCCATCTTCACAAAACAGTCCTGAGCGTATTTCCTTTCATCGTCAACCCGGAGCTTCGCGGCGGCTAATGCAAGAGGCCAAAAATGTTTGGAGGAAGAAAAACAAAGGCAGGAAGTGGCGGCGGCCTGACGGTGCGTGTGTGTCTGTGGAGAAGGGAGGGAGCCGGTTCAATCTCTTCTTGTTTTTCCAAACTTCAAGGTCTAGGCAGCCCTCTGCAGGGCCGCGCCGCCGCTCCCCGCGCAGCGTTCGGAGGTGGCCACCCGGAGAGGAGAAGGCCGGCGCCCGCGCTAGCCTTGTCAGGCGGAAACGCCAGCAAGGAGATTTGATCAGCAAAACGGCCCAAGCCTTTCCGAGGCTTCGTCTGACTTGGCCCTAAAGGGTGGGAGGTGGGGGCGGTTGTGCAGCGCCTCCCGGACCCTTCTCGGCGGGCCGAGTGCGTCCTGGCGGGGACGATGATCCGTGCGCTTCGCGCCCCACACGCCTTCCCAGGCGGAATATTGGAATAAAGAGTGTCCGGGCGCCTCTGCCGCCTCCGCTTCTTCTTGCAGCCGGAGGGGTACGGGCAGCGGGGTGAGCGCGCCGGCCGGTTGTGCCCGGACGGGGTTGGCTTCGGCGCGGTCAGTGCTCACCCGGGCCATATGAGGCCTTGTCACCGCGGTTGTCACGCCAGGGGCATTTCCAGCACTGTCATTCAAGGGACATGAGCTGCAAGGACTGTCACTTGATAGGCAGCTTAAAACCCTCTCACTCCAAGGGAAGATGGAGTTGAGGGGCTGGGAGTACCTCTGGACCCCAGGTTTTCACCCCCAATTGGAGAGGCTGTGCGGTTGCCCTTTTCTCTTCTTGGGGCTTGCTTGGGAGGCAGCAGCTACTCCTTCTCCCTAGAATTTGGGAATTTGAAGTCTCAAGTGCCTACACTTGCAGTCCTTTGAATGCTCAGCATGTGGTCCACAGTGCGAATGCCAATGCCAAGCTGCCCCCACTCACCAGGATCCTTCCCAAGCAGGTTCTGTCCCCCTGTGGTGCCTGTTCGCCGGTCTCCCGCCCTGCCTCTTTCCAGCCAGTCTCTCCTTCTGAGGCCTCCTGCCTCTTCTGATGCTCTCCTAGAGTGAGCAAGAGATGAGATGCCACTGGAGGGCACCTAGTACTCAGGGACAGAAAAGGGGGGTTATTAGGTTCCTGACTCTCCCCCAACTCTGGCCTCCACCAAAGACCTGAACTGGGTCTCTCACCTCCTCTTTTGGAATATTCCATCCCAAGGCCCCACTATGTCTTCTCTCACTCCCTCCCTCACCAACACTCTCCTCTTCTGGAGACCCCATTTCAGCTTTTCTAGGCAGGGCAATCCCAGATAGAAGCTGGCCTGGGAGGGGTTGGGCCCACTTTACAGACCAAA